CTGATTTGGGTCGACTTGTTCACGGGCTATGTGATGGCCAAGGATAGTTTTTCGCGAATGGCCCAGACGATAGCTGAAGGGTACGAAGAATGCGTTTTTTTTTGCCGTTTTGGTACCAGCGAGGTAATCCGCCACGATCAAGAACCGTTTTTTTGGTATATAGTCGCATGGTGGGCCAGCGTCAACAATATACCATGGACTATCGACCTCAGGCGAACGGTACCGCGGAGAGGATGGTTTAGACCCTGAGATGTATGTCGCTAATTTCTGACAGCTGGAATGGGATGATTATGCAAAACGCTTAACGTTTGCGATAAACACCGCGCAAGACCGAGTCCGGAAGAAGACACCATTCTATCTGGTCCATATTTGGGATGCTAGGACCACCCTCGAAGCTACATTACCAGTGGTAAATACTTGACGTCGGGATTCTGGACCTCGAAGATGGAGTTACCACATTCAGCAGCACTATCAACGAGCGAGAGCCCCTGTGAATGAGAATTTACGAGCGACCAGTCACGCTCGGGTAATAGCCCACAACGAAGGAGTGATCGACCACGAGATCAGCCCGGAACCCAAGTATGGATTTACCTGAACCGTGTGAAAGAAGGGTACGCCATTGGCATGGAACTTTCGAGTTCTAAACTGGTAGGAAAGTACGCGGCACGTCTGGAAACCCTAGGCACGCAGTACAGGTTATTCCCACTCGTACATTTTTCCAAGCTTAAGAGAATTATAGAGTTCCCCGACCGAACGAGTGCCATGCTGGAGATAGACGAAATCCGATCTGGTCGACTGGGATGAATGCCTGTTTCCAGAAGACAGTTGAGAAAGAGAGTTGGAGGAGGGATAGTAGGAGGTCGAGGAAATCTTTAGACCCGCGCTGGAAAGAAGACGCGCTGTGGGAGACCGCAACGTTAGCTCCTCGTTTGCTGGAAAGGGTATGAACAACCCTCATGGGTGGATGAAATGGATTTGAATTGTGGAGCCTTACTTCGGGATTTTGAACGCAAGAAGACAAGGAGAAAATCTCTTCTGCGATGAAAAGTGATGAGGACTAGTGGCAGAATCCGGGATCTTTGGATGGCCGACCAGAGTCGATAGTGGATAGACCCTGGCTTTTTGATGTGGACCTTTAGTAATTCAATGTCGACCCTAGTCTATTATTGGTGGACCGTGGTCTCGAGGTTGACCCTGGTCTATCATTGGTAGACCTTGGTCTTTTGAGGTTGACCCTGGTTTTACAAAATAATGAAGAAAAGGAATCGATATTAATTTTGATTGTAGAAGGAAGTACAGATCTATGACAAAAATAGGGAAGAAATGGATCGCAAGTATATTCAGGTGGAGAGCCTAAGCGGTGGAGACGAACTTGTTCCGGATGCGTAATACCGAGTACCCAGGGTTTAGACTCTGACGAAAGCTGATACTGGGAGAGTCAGGGATAAATGGAGTCGGAGATCTCAGAGCTTCCAGCAAGTTAGCGGGATCCGATCCCTCTTCACATCCTGGAAACCAGTACACCAAGTAGCGAGGTCGGGGAAGGGGTCGGAAGAAAAGGTCAAGCAGAGTGTCGATGTCGTATCGACCGTCACTTATTCCTTTGAAGATCATGTCGACGACCCTCGCCATGCTCGAATCGTCCGACCACGACGCTCCTTTCGTGTGTTATAATATGACGCGAGGAAGGTGCTGGCGCGCATTTGGTCTCCAGAGATCTATAGGCAGTGAGTGGCCTCCCAAACAGCTTGGCTGTGTTCCTCGTCGAAACGCATGTAGGACGCCTCCAGTTCCGCGAGCCATTCCACTGGCTGAAAGTACACAGGTGGGATCAAGAATCGTGCCGGCAGCCATGGTCGGGTGTTCAAAGGTCTTGAGCATCGAAGAGTTGACCAACGACGACTTCCACTTGGAAGGTCGATCGAACTTCCCGTCCGGTGAAACGAACCAACCCCATGGCAGCTCTAGGCGGTCGACCAAGTCACTTGGAGTCATTATTGCGATACTCAAAGAGCTGACTAGGTCAACCGACCAAGGCGCCACTTCGCAGCAGTGAGCGATTTTCACTTATATATACCCAGGGATGCCGTTCCCTTTTAGAAGCGTGGGTGACCCACCTAGTGCGTAGTCGGCCCTCTAGACCGTGACGGGGACCTTATTGTCAGAAACTGACTCTGTATATGAGTCATAAGACCCGAATATGGCCCTGGAAAACGATGGACTCGGGGTAGTGACGGGCCTTGGGACATAAGCAGTCGAGGCAGCTGGGGATCGAGTATCTTGTTAATGCGTAGAGTCGACTTGAGGACCACGATCGAGCTAGGGTCGCCCGGACTACCTCGCTATCGTTGCTTGCCGAGTCATCACTCGGGTCTGGAGAAGGAGTGGAAGTAGTCCACGAAGGTTCCCAACCGTGGGAGTCGAAGACGAAATGCTAACATCGCTGGATTTGAAGACATTGGCCACCAATTAGCCGATTGCCGTAGACGCTTACCCGATGCCGGGGCAGTATTTACCTTGGCGGCAGCCACTGGGGGGACCACAAGGGTTTTGGCAGATTTGAGGCATAGACGGCATGGTCCAGACCCGCCACCAGAAGATAATATCGGCTTTGACGGTAATCAATCTGCACCGCAGGTGCTCCACCCAGAATCCTCTCGTGTTGCAGACCCTCACGCAACTGGACTACGAGATTGTTGGTGTCGAGAAGCTCTCTCCTCGAGACGCTCACTCCTGGCGGTCTAGTAGGCGTCGGAGGAGGAGACTGGAGCTAGTCGACCCTCGCACGCCTCGAACCAAACGGTCATGCTGACCTGCAGATCGCGCACAACTTGTGCGCGTCTGCTGGTCTCTTCAACGTAGTCGTAGGGTCGTTATACGAGGTGACAAGCGGAACGCAAGCGACCTGTGAAATCACGGGTCCACAACGGCAGTGGAGCTAGAGGTAGACCGAGGGCCACCTACGACAGGTGGAGTCTCGTCGCCTACAGCTTTAGAAGAAACCGTCGTGGATGGACCTGATCCTGGCACCTCGGGAGAATCGACGATTGGCGACAAAGTGGGGACTTGCAATTTTGGGTTAGCAGCGAGTGCGGGGTGACCAGTCCCGGTCCACCAGGCGTTAAGTCTACCCCAGAGGGAAGGGAGCAGCTGAGGTCACATCAAGTCCAGACAACAGATATACAACACCAAACAAGCTGAAAATACTTACTGGAAGAAGGAGTAGAAGACATGCGCGTGCTAAAGCGGCTGTACGGTTGACTAAGTGCAGGGGGCGGCTGTGGTGAAGCATTGCTCGGGGGGTGGAAGCCCAGGACCAGTGGACCAAAGAGAAAGGGCTCACCAATGAGATGCGATGTTGGGTAAGGGACAGAGATAAAGGGATCCAAAATGTGGGAAACGACCGTTGGATGGGGAAAATTCGCGGTCAAAGCCTGCTGGTTTAGCCCCCAGAGTCGACCATGAGCCACTATGTCAGTTTAATTCGAGCGTCAGCGAAGAGCCCTGTCGAGCTTTAACGCCGGGAAAATCTTTAGAGTCTGTTGCACCTGCTCAATGACATTGCTTTCATCTCCAGGCGACGACAGCGTTCTGCCGTTCCTCAGAGTCCAGGGTTTGCCAGTGGAAACCGTCTGGGGGATCTCAGCCGCTTGCCCGCTGCATAACTGCGCTGGGTTTGAAGCCCCACCAGTAGCCCCCAACTGTTGTTACAATACAGGGAGCTTTGCTACAATTTGCGTTATTGCCCTTAGAATCCGTTGGGCATAAAACAAATTGTGCACAAGCTAGCAAACTTGATTCGAGACACGACATTGGAGCTTCGACAGTCTCGACAAGCAATCCATTCTGCCATTGGCCCAACAATTGAGCCGATTACATGCGTTTCATGACCTGACAAGTCAAACGGGGTCGCACTTCTGGTTATATACGGGTATAGATTTTGTAAAATATTTAATAATTTGATCTATGAGCAGCCTCTGCACCAATATTTTCGGCACTCTACGCCTGGATGTTTGTCCCGGACTTAAGTGCTCGCATCTAAATTTCCGCAGTGACGTAGTCTCCCAACGTCGAGAATAACCACTTCGTAAATTTCTGCAATCGATGACTCATTTCCAATTCCTGCAACAAGTCGGTGATAGCATGAGTGATATAAATTTGATTTAATACCCATAACGTTGTTTAGGATGAAAACGTTTGTGGAAGTCCTTGTCTTTTCGTCAAGAAGTGCCATTAAGCGCTGTTGCGATTTTGGCGGCACAAATTATGAGGGGATCCATGGGTTGCAGTATTCAAATACCTCGCGGCACCAAATTGGACTGCGATTTCAACAGAATACCAGCATCTTGCAGTACTGGGTTAGTTCCATCGCGCATTGTTACTATCAAGTTAATCGAAGGGTGTTTTTAAAGCCCACAATAGACATCCGGGTCAATGTGAGGTCTAAAATGAACTTGAACCGTTTCCGAAACGACTTGTAGAACACTGAAAGCAATGAAGACGTCAATGAACAACCAAGTGAGAAATACTGTCATCACTGGTATCAAAAGCATGCCACGAGAAGATTCCACAATGTCTGAACCTAGAATTCAAAATGAGGAAAACAAGCTAGCTATTGTGTGTGGTATAGTCCTACAATGGATCTTGACGAATTGTTCCATCTTGCGTGGAATGTAACAACCTTTGGCTCACTATAATCAGTCAAAGATTAGCATTTAGCATATTGGGAACGTGATCAGATCAACGTTTGCTTAAATAAAAATACACATTGCTACTGTTGTAGAGTGTAAACACTTTTCATAAACCCATTTGCAGCCTGCGAGGGGATTGTCAGTTATTTTATGATGAATAAGAGGATAATAATCGATCAACATGGGTTTCGAATTTTCTAATTGATTTGATTGGCTCAAGGGCGCGTGGCTCTTCTGTGATTGGTGCAATACCTGTTGTAATGTCTCCTACCACACAAATCACGTATTAATTTAGTCATTCAACGATTCATGGAGTTAAAAATGGAAGACACGCTCAAGAAAGCAGCAGCAGCGTCTTCTGGTGCATTGCTTACGTCATTGTTTGTGACACCACTGGATGTGGCAAAAGTGCGCATTCAGTCGCAGATTCAAGCAAGTATAATCTCGCCCAAGTCACTTGCCGACCTGCGCGTGATACACTCAAGTGTTGGTACTCCGATCATTGAACAATGTCGCTGTCGTAGTCGCTGTGTATGTAATCGATGCATCACTCGTCCTGTCGATCAGTTGAAAGATATGCGACGCGGGTGTAAATCCATGTCCGTGATGCGCTTCTCTCCCTGTTCACGAACCATGGCGCCTCCCTCTTTTCCAAAGCACATTTCATGCATTGCGTCACATCTTTCAGACTGAAGGACTTAAGGGATTGTTTGCAGGGTTTGTCACTCGCTATGGTCGCTTCTGTACCGTGTCAACTGTGCTGTATTATATATCGTACGAATTTTTATTGCACGAGGGACGTCAGAAATTGCCAGAGTTGGAGAGCTTGACGCCGTTGATGGCAGGCATAACGGCGAGAACCGTTGCGGCGACGATTACATCACCTATTGAGCTAGTAAGAACGAGAATGCAGGGAGTGAATGTTGAACTAAAGTATTTTGTCAAGCATTTCAGCACGGAGTACGACGCGAGGATACATGTCAT